GAGAGAGAGAGAGAGAGAGAGAGAGAAGCTGTTGCTATCAATTCCAGTGTATTCAGTGCCTATGGATTAAAGTGCTGCCTGTAGCCGGGAGAGAGCTGAGTGCTGGGGTAATGGTGGGAGCATGCAGTCCCTCCTCCTAAAGAGCTCACCGAGGATATTGACATGGAAACCGGCAACGCCAACACAGTCTGAAAGAACGGATGCAGTGGGAGCTGGGGGCGAGCACCTCCAGCAGCGGGTGAGTGAAGGAGGCGGCCATGAGGAAAAGAAATCTACATGAAATCTGCAAGGGAGCATGGCAGGGAAGAATTCTAGCAGAGGGAACAGAGCAATAACACAAGAAAGAGCCTGGGTGCTCGGCCAGTGTGGCTCAGTGGTTGAGCGTCGACCTATGAACCAGGAGGTCACAGTTCAACTCCCAGTCAGAGCACATGCCCTGGTTGCAGGCTCGATCACCAGTAGGGGGCGTGCAGGAGGCAGCCGATCCATGATTCTCTCATCACTGATGATTCTGTCTCTCTCTCCTTTCCTCTCTGAAATCAATAAAAATATATTTAAAGAAGAAAGAGCATGGGTGTCACAGGAGCGGGGAAACAGGTCAAAACAAACAGATCAGCGTCATCAGTGAGGCAGGAGCAAGAAGCAGACCCCCTGAGCAGCCTAAGATGAGGGGAAGCAGAGAAACACGGCCTTGGTCTTGACGTAGCACATGGACTTCAGATGTTTTCCTCACGTCCATGAGAGTGATTGAGCGTCGACCTATGAACCAGGAGGTCACAGTTCAACTCCCAGTCAGAGCACATGCCCTGGTTGCAGGCTCGATCACCAGTAGGGGGCTTGCAGGAGGCAGCCAATCCATGATTCTCTCTCATCATTGATGATTCTCTCTCTCTCTCCTTTCCGCTCTGAAATCAATAAAAATATATTTAGAGAAGAAAGAGCATGGGTGTCACAGGAGCAGGGACACAGGTCAAAACAAACAGAGCAGCGTCATCAGTGAGGCAGGAGCAAGAAGCAGACCCCCTGAGCAGCCTAAGATGAGGGGAAGCAGAGAAACACGGCCTTGGTCTTGACGTAGCACATGGACTTCAGATGTTTTCCTCACGTCAGTGAGAGTGATTGAGGAGGGTAGCGTCAGGCAGGAAGGCACCCCCAGATGTGCATTTTATTTTTTAATATGTTTTTATTGATTTTAGGGAGGGAGGAAGGCTGAAAGATAGAAACATCAATGATGAGAGAGAAACATAGATTGGCTGCCTCCTGCATACCCCCTATTGGGGATTGAGCTGGAAACCTGGGCATGTACCATAACCAGGAATCGAATCAGTGACCACTTGCTTCATGGGTTGACACTCAACCACTGAGCCACACTGTCCAGGCCAGGATGTACATTTTAGAAATCCCTCTGGCAACAGTGGGAGATGGCGGTGGGAGCAACACTGGGGTCAGGGGTCACAATGAGGGTGCTGCGGCAGCAATTTCCATGGGAGTTCCCGGGGACTGGGACTAAGCTGCCCCAGTAGGAATGGACTAAAATAGACAGGTGAGAAAGATATTCATAAGGGACAGACAACAGGCGTTGGGAACAGTGATATTGGGCCTGGGGACAAGGGAAAAGTGACCCAGAGTGCCCAGGCATTGGCTCACAAAACCAGGAAGATGACGGGGCCTGTTCACAAAAGGAAACACCTGAATGGAAGCACGTTCCCAGGTACAAGAAGAGTTCGGCCTGGGACAGCCAGGCCTTCCGGGGTCTGTGGGCAGCCAGAAGACACGTCTTCCAGGCGGCTGGGTTTGGGTTTGTAATTCAGGAGAGAATGCGGCCTGGAGATTTCTATGTGGGAATTGTCACAGGGAACTATGATGAAAGACAGAGAAGCAGACAAGATCTCACCATGACAATCCACTGGGAAGAGCCTGGAAACAGAATCCGAAGAAAACCAATATGGAAGGCACACGGTGACCTAAGTGAGCCCACAAAACATGCCAAGAGGACTAGCCAGGGGAGCTGCAGGGAAACCAGGAGGCGCAGTAGACGGGAGGGGAAAGAAGAACTTATCACAACAAGTAACAGGTCACCAGCTGTGCATCAATGGAAAGTCAGCCTGACCAGTGCGAACAGACACCAAGAGAGCAGCGGAGGGGGTGGGGTGCTGTGTGCTCTGAGTTCGTCCTAAAATAAAGGGTAGGCTAACCTCTGCAACAAATAGCCACAGCAATTCTTAATGGCTTAACCCAACTGTATTCATTTCTCCCGCACATCACAGTCCAATGCGGATGTTTGAGGGGGGACAACTTCTCTACACAGTCATTCGGAGACCCGTGTCTCCTTCCATCCGGGGGCTCCTCATCTTTTAGAGTCTGGGAGCTCCACCATGCCTCCCCGCACACGGCCAAGTGGGCAATGAGGGTGCACGGACAATCTTCACATGGCCTGTCCATTGAAAACCGTGTTCATGGTTTCAGGGGCCCAGCCTGGCACCCACTTACCAAGCTTCCACCCACATGCCATTGGCCAGACTTGGTCACCCGCTCACCCCGATCAAAAATGTTGAAAACGAATTATAACCAGCTGGCTTCCAGAGTTTGCTTTTGATGAATATATTCTACTTTTGGTGATGCTGTGTTTGTTTGTTTTTCCAGTGCAAAAGCAGACAGGAGGGGGTGAGAAATAACAGACGAATGAAACAATTAGCAAACAATATGTTGTGATGGAAAGAAAAGTTAGGCTCATCACCAACCTTCCGCTGAGCGGCCCCTTTCTTCCTTCTTTGTCGGAATTGCCAAAAGGCTACAAAGAGCAGTGCACTTTCCTTCGTTTACTTTTAGCTTTTAGCTCCTCTTTCCAGTGTCTCAGAGTCAAGGTGTTCTCTGCCTCAGACTTCAAAGCGGGGAGGGATGTCAGGGAACTTACTCTCCCTGGTGGCTGCTCAGGCAGTAAGCCTTCTATCCTGGCAGACAGGGGAGGGCTGGGCGGGAGACGCGCAAAGTTGCCTGTTGATGTTTGAACCTTCTGACGCTGTGTTTGGAAGCCCTGGGAATAGTGTGTGTTGATTATCCTCAAGAAT